TGCACACGGTTTCACTTAACATCATCAACAAAGAGACAGCATTAGTTAATCTTTTCTATCGTCATGTGAGCCGACACTCCATCTATAAATTCATGGTTGGTTCCATGTGCCACCAAATGGCGGCCATTATCACTATACCTAGATTTAATAGCCTTTAGATTGCCTTTAGAATAAAGCAATGGAACAATAGTCCAATTCTTAAATAAATTGCAACGTTTCCAGTTCATATAATAGGAAGATGAAGGAGGTGTAGATCATGAAATGCAAGAATTAGTGCACATGGTTGACAATTATTCGGTTATATGAGGTAGTAAATTAAGCATTCTAGATCGGTGTTTAGTTTGCTGATATACTTTCCAGTTTAGATTACATGTACAAGTATAGGTACGCGTACTAATAATTTCTCATCTTGAGCATCAGCTGTTGATGGTGACGAATTCATTGCCCAAGACATCACCTTTCGTAACACTGCCGGCGCGGCGAATCACCAAGCAGTTGCTCTACGTTCGAGCTCTAACCTCTCAATCTTCTATCGATGTGGCTTTGAGGGACATCAGGACACCCTTCATGTTCATTCTGGGCGACAATTCTATAGAGAGTGTGACATCTATGGCACCACTGACTTCATCTTTGGAAATGCTGCCGTCGTTTTCCAGAATTGCAACATCTATGCTAGAATCCCTGTTAACAATATCAATACCATCACGGCACAGGGACGGACTGACCCCAACCAAAACACGGGCATCTCCATCCACAATTGCAAAGTCGCCGCAGCCTCAGATTTGGTATCGGTTCAAAGCTCCGTGAAGACGTACCTCGGGAGGCCATGGAAAGAATATTCAAGAACTATTTTTATGATGACTTACCTTGATAGCCTAATTGACTCGGCCGGCTGGTTGGAGTGGAACAAAAGTGACTTTGCCCTCAACACTCTGTACTATGGAGAGTATATGAACACGGGTTCGGGGTCATTGACCGCAAATAGGGTCACATGGGCAGGTTACCATGTCATCACAAGCGCAATAGAAGCTTCAAAGTTCACCATCGGGAACTTCATCCCCGACGGCTCTTGGTTGCTCGCCACCGGCGTGCCTTACACTTCTGAAGTTTACGGCATGCCTAACGCCTCTAGGGTTTACTACATGCTTGACACCTATGGGGGTTCGAAACTATCCGTCAATATTATTGGGGGTTACGACGGTTATTTTCTTGTCCAGTATATTTTATTTTTACTTTTTATTTTGAGAAATCTAGTCTAATTCTTTTTTTTTTTGGTCGAACTAGTCGAGTTCAATAATTGTTATTTTTCCGCTTTTTTGCTGTAAGGAAGAAATTTTATTGCTTAAACAAAGAACATCTCTGATTGGTGAAAAAAACCCTTTCGAATCAAAGAAAAACAAATTTAAAAACTCATTTTCTTTTGATTTTCGGCATTGATGTTCATTTCAACTAGTAGCCTATCTCAACATCACGAACAAATCTTTCTTCTTTTAAGCGATCGAGTCTTCTCTGTGTTGGAGTTAGCGAATAATTCGGGGACCCCCTTGTTTCTCACACCGGGTACGCCCACGTGAGCTTCGGGAAACTGAAGTGTTGTCCGACGACATGTGACCCATGCGTGCGGAATGCGGGGGCTCGGGGGCAGCGCCCCCGACACGGGTGCCCTGCTGCCCGGTGTGAGATTAAGAGATTTTATATAGGTTTAGATTTTGGGCCCGTTTTGGGCATATATATATTTTACTCGTTTTTCTGATCATTGTAACGAGTTGAGTGGCTGTAAACCGAAAAACCATAGTGAAATCTCTTTGCAGGACGTAGCCCTAAGAGAGGGTGAACCTGGGTAAATTCGTGCATCGTCTATTTTCTCTGTTTTCTGCGTGATCGTTCTGTTTCGGTTCTCGATACGTCCCTTCACTCTGGATCGGCAAAAGACTTGAACATTCAAGCATGCGCACGTCGCTGTCCAGGGTCCGACAACGTCCGGTCCTGCCGTTGCTGCTGCTGATCCTGACACCGCCTGGTTCATTGCTACCACCGCTGGTTCCGCGTCGCCGCTGCTTGTCGCCGCTACTCGCTCAACATTCCTGCTAATCCCGACTATCCCACTCGCCTGACGTCGCCGTTGTTCATCACTGTTGCTGCCAGACGCCACTGCTAATTGGTCCCGTCGGTGTTGCCGCTGCTGTTCCTGGATGCCGTCGTTGTCCTTTGTTGTTCAGCCCGTCACTGTTCTCGTCGTGTAATCCCGCTCAAGTAGTATTAGGCAACTTGATTTGAACTTCGACTTTCACCACCAAAATTGTTTCAATCCTCGGTGCTGCTCCATGAACAGCTTCCTCGGAGTACCATACATACGGCATTTCATGGATTTGGACCCAGAAAGCACAAATAGAAAACTAATAGCAATGGGGAGGTGTATTAGGCTCCCATGGCTTAAGCATTAATAGGAGGTTTGAGAAAGACCATAGACCACCTTCTAGCACTGTGTTTTTCCACTTGTGATCTGAAAGTAAAGGCAAAGAGGCCAGAATCTAACTAAGTCGAGGCTACATTTTCAATCCTTCAAAGCTCTCTCCATAAAATCCAGAAAGGCTTCAAAATCAATACTGGGTTTGTATATAGTTCCCGAAGAGAGTGAGACGGCATTCCATTAATTTTGTATTCGACACGACTCAATCCTTTACATCTACTTCATTTTGTGATCAGTTTACTAATCATTTATTTCTAGCTGACTGAGATTACGACAGATATCAAAATAGGCAAAAACCAGAAGCTAGCGAGTGAGGAAAAACAGGTTGAGATTGAAGAACGGCTAAGGGAGTAGCGACGGCCGGGGCAAAAAAGGAAAGTAAGGGTCCATTTGTTTCACGAAAAATATTTTTCAAGAAAACATTTCCATCATTTTCCGGTGTTTGGTTCACTTAGGAAAATGAGTCAACGGAAAATGTTTTCCTAGTCAATGGAAAAGGCTTTCCCACCTAAACTTAAATTCAAGAAAATCATTTCCTCTTTGAAAGAACCTAAAAACGTTTTCCAAAATATGACTAAGTATCAGCACTTGGACCCAAAACTCTACACTTAGGAACAAAAACCCCAACGTTAATTCCCGGGTCCCGACGTTCAAACTAGGTCTCGGGACCCCGATGCTCGAGCATGGGCCCCCGGGGCCCATGACCAAGTCCATCGAGGCCGGGCCCGAACTCCTAGTGCCCGTACTTGATGCTCCGGCTCCCGAACCTGGGTCCATAAAAGGTCGTGCTCAGGTCCTCAACCCTCAAACTCTAGTCCCAACCCTCAGGCTTGGGTGCACAAAGGCCGTGCACGGGTTCTTAGCACTCAGGCTTGGGTCCTTGGTTAATGAAACATTTGTTCATTTAAAAAAATATTTTAAAGAAAAATTGGAATTTTGTTATTTTATTTAAAAAAACTATAATTTTTATTAGTTTTAATTGTTTCTTTTCTTTCTTTTTCTTTTTTTTTTCTTTTCCTCCTTTTTCTTTTTCCTTCTTTCTCAGCCAATCGCTGGCCACGACGACGACTTGCGACCAACCCCAAGCAAGCTCGAGCCTCACCCAAAACTAGTAAGGCTCGAAGCTTTCCGATCTAGTGACGTCAAGCTTGCTCGAGGCTGACTCGCCAGAGGTCATCGTAGTGGCTCGTTGACCACTGACCTCTAGTGAGCTTGAAGCTCGCCGATTGGGCAAGGCTGGAGCTCACTTGTGGCCAATCGCTAGCCATCGCAGTGACCAGCGACCGACCAAGGAAGAAGCAAAAAGAAAAGAGAAAAGGAAAATAAATTAAAAAATACTAATTTTTTGAAAATTTTCCCTATCAGATCTTCCTTGCCAAACGACAGAAAATACTTTCCGGATCTTTTTCAAGTTTCAGTCAAATACAAAAAAATGAAGTCATTTTTATTCCTAGAAAATGTTTTCCAAAATGGTACTATTCCATGAAACAAACGGACCTCAAGGATTTATGAAACCATTACCATGAGGAATAGTGACAAGCTCTTCCAAAGAAAGAGAATTAAGGTAGTTGAAAATACAAAATTATAATGCAATATTTTTGCCTTCGAAGATACGCATAACAAATCATGTTTTATTCCAACCTAGAACTGAACCGGCAATGCTAGAGTTCCTTGCGTTTGGGAGAGCTTTTCCAAAGTCCCTTGGGCCTTCAAAGGCTCTTGTGCAAAGTTGGAAGTGCTTAGTAACACAATCCTAAAAAACCTTAAAGCCAAAAATTCAGCATTCCAAAAATGCTACCTCGAGGGTTTGTTGATTTTTTTTCTTCCACGCTTTACCCTCACTAATATTTTCGTATTCCCATCTTGCCCTCACTAGACTATCTAAATTCCAGTTTTACCTCCACTCGCACATGCTCTCTCTCTCTCTTCTCCCCTCACTAATATTTTTGTATAGAGGCCAAACTGAATATGAGATCCCACCTTTTTTTATCGGCCGTGCCCAGTGTGGAGTGTTCCTGGAGTCCGGAAGCTTCAAGTGAAGTGCCCAAAAGTCATTGAAGTCAAAATATAAGATCACCGAATCATATTTGCATCATATGAAAGCCCTTGGAGACGGATTCTTTTGTCCAAAAGCAAAGCCAATCTCCCAAAGAATGTGGCGATAATTGAAAAATATTCTAACCTAGGAAAAGATGCACGAAAAACTCCCCCTCATTACTGGATCGTGCGTGCATGTGCATTGTATAAGGATATTAATAAAAAATCATGTCAACCACTGCAATATTTTGTACTCGTGCGCCAATGGAAATAACGAAGAAGCATAGCGACGCATGCTCATGAGTAATGTTCATATGCCTTGTTGCTTTTGGTCGCATCGGATAAAAATAATATTCCAAGAAGAATGATGGCTAGTAGCTTAGGCACAAACTATGTGAAGAAAAAGTTCATTTCCTAGTTGACGATTGTACGTTCTCTATTCTCTCTTCATTCTCGTTATCCATTTGGTCGAAATTCAATAATCGAAACGCAGGTTCCCGGAAAGTTGGTGCCACTGCCATGCCTCTGATCACCATTGTGCCTCCACTTCTATATAAAGGGACCAATCCAAGGCAAATGAACAAACCCCAGTTCAAGATCACTAATCTCAAATTCCCTCATCACATTCTCATTTCTCTTCATTTACTTACGTCCACTCATCTTTTCAGCCTACCAGAAATTAATCGATATGGGTGTTCATCAAAAGTTCATGATCATTGTCTTTTTGCCTCTTCTGCTATCTCAAACCATTCATAGCTATTCCTCCGGTGATGTGAAATCATGGTGTAGCCAAATGCCTTACCCACAACCATGTGAGTACTTCCTGACACACAGCCCTAACCAGACCCCTCTCAAGCGAAAATCCAACTTCATCAAGGCCTCGATGCAAGTTGCCCTAGAGAGAGCCCAGCTCGCCCAAGCCGACATGTACTCGCTGGGCCCCAGATGCCGCAACAAGCGCGAGAAGGCTGCGTGGGCCGACTGCCTCCAGCTTTATGAGCACACGGTCCTCGACTTGAACCGGACCATCGATTGCCAGTGCACTCAGGACGATGTGCAAATGTGGCTTAGCAGCGCCCTGACCAACCTTGAGACCTGTCGGGCCGGGTTCATCAAGCTCGGCGTCTCGGACAATGTGTTGCCCTTGATGCCAAATAATGTTTCCAAGTTGATAAACAACGCTTTGTCTGCAAACTATGTACCCTACGCTCCACCGAAATACACCAATGAGTTCCCTACTTGGCTGAAGCCTAGCAACAGAAAGCTCTTACAGTCTCCCTCCGTGTCATCTATTGCTAATATCGTGGTGGCCCAAGATGGTACGGGGAACTACAAAACAATAAGTGAAGCTGTAACTGCGGCATCGAAGCAATCTTGCACGACAAGGTACGTAATCTATATCAAGGCCAGTACGTATGAAGAGAATGTTGAAGTTGGACGAAAATTGGAGAACATTATGTTCGTGGGTGATGGTATTGGAAAGACCATAATCACTGGAAGCAAAAGTCATGACGAAGGATCTACTACCTTTAAATCAGCAACTATTGAAGAGCTTACAATTTAAGTTACTTATGATACTGTGTATTTTATTCAGGATAAGTACTGAAAAGTAGACATAAGTGTACTAATAATCTTTCTCATATTGAGTTTCAGCTGTTGTTGGTGACGGATTCATTGCTAAACACATAACTTTTTGTAACACTGCTGGTGCGGCAAATCACCAAGCAGTTGCTCTCCGTTCCAACTCTGACCTCTCAATCTTCTATCAATGTGGCTTGGAGGGTTATGAGCACACCCTTGACGTTCATTCCAAGCGACAATTCTACAGAGAGTGTGACATTTACGGTACAGTTGACTTCATCTTTGGAAATGCTACGGTCATTTTCCAGAACTGCAACATCTACGATAAAAGCCCTCCTGATAAGGTCAATACCATCACTACTCAGGACCGGACTCACCCCAACCAAAACACTGGCATCTCCTTCCAAAATTGCAAAGTCACCGCAGCTCCAGACTTGATATCGATTCAAAGCTCCGTGAAGACATACCTCGGGAGGCCGAGACGAAAATATTCGAGAACTGTTTTCATGAATACCTACCTTGATTGCCTAATTGACCCGGCCGGCTGGTTGGAGTGGAAAGGTGACTTTGCCCTTAAGACTCTATATTATGGAGAATATAAGAACACGGGTCCTGGGTCATCAACCACAAATAGGGTCACATGGGCAGGTTACCATGTCATCACAAGCTTGACGGAGGCTTCGATGTTCACTATCGGGCAATTGATCCCCGACGGCACTTGGTTGCTCGCCGCTGGAGTGCCACACGATGCGCCCAACACGCCATACAATGCGCCTAACACGCCGTACGTTGCGCCTTACACCTCTGAGGGTTACAAGCTGTTCATCGGTTTCATTGGGGATTACAATGGTTATTCTCCAGTCCAGTCCTCTTTCTTTTTCCTCTTTCTTCTGTATTTTGGAAATCTATTCTAGTTCAAGGTGTTATTTTTCCGCTTTTATGCTGTGAGGAAGTAATATTATCGCTTAATCAAATAACATTTCAAATTAATTAAAAGATCCCCAATCTAAGAATAAACAAATTTGAAGACTATTGAAGATATCACCGCCTTATCTCTCTAGATCTTTCGTAATTAGTCTTGACCTTTCGTATTTCAATGACTAGTTAATGTGATTGTTTGTATTTGGTCTTGACCTTTCGTATTTCAATGACTAGTTAATGTGATTGTTTGTATTTGGTCTTGACCTTTCGTGTTTCGATATCTAGTTAATATCAGATACATGTATAGTCATTTATGAGTCATATCAAGAGTCATGTATTATGCCTATATAAAGGCAAGTCCAGTTGAAGTATTTGTAAGGTGAATCAAGTCATAATAAAATAGTTTATTCCTCTCCTCTCCTTGTGTGTTTTTCTTCAAGAATTGTCGACGAGAGTTATTGACGATCGAGGCTTTCACTTTTGAGTGTTACGCCTTTAAAACTCAACAAGTGGTATCAAAGCCCAGGAGCCGGGGACCGTTGTACGTGAGCAACCGGTCAGGGACCAGAGAACGCCGAAATTCTGTCATTGCAAAGACAGGGACTGTGATTCATTGGTCTGGGACCAAGCTGAATTGGTGTAGTGCCAGGCATTATATCCAAGTTCGATGGCGGATATTTCAAGTTCGATGAACGGGGTCGAGAAGCTCAACAGCTCCAATTATAATAATTGGAGTTCCCGCATGCAATTTTACTTGCTGGGACAAGATTTGTGGGATATCGTTGGCGGGGGTAACACCACACCACCTACGAACGATGGCGAGTTAAGGAGATGGAACATCAAAGCGGGTAAAGCTCTTTATGCTCTTTCTGTGACTGTTGAAGATGAATTAATGCAGCACATAAAGAGCGCGAGGACTCCAAAAGAGGCATGGGATAACTTGGCAGCGCTATTCGCAAGGTCGAATGATGCCAAGCTACAAAGGCTGGAAAACGAGCTGCTGTCGATGTCACAACAAAATATGACGGTGAGTCAGTATTTCTCCAAAGTTAAGTCTATTTGTGACGAAATTTCAAAGTTGGATCCCACTAATGCCATCTCAGAAACAAGAATGAGAAGAATTATTATTCACGGGTTAAAGCCGGAGTATAATGGTATTATTACGGCTACTCGTGGATGGGCAACTCAACCGACGTTGACCGATCTGGAGAGTATTCTGGCTAACCAAGAGACTTTAGATAGTCAAATGTCTAAAGTTTCGATTAAGAGAGAAGAAAGTGCCCTCTTCAGTGATAAAAGAGGGTTCAAGGGTCAGAGGCGAACCGGTGCTGACAATAAAGATGGCAAGTCAAGGAAAAGCCATGTCGAATGGCAAAAGCAACCAGCTCGTGAAGAATGGCAAAAGCGTCTAGGAGAGACGAGTCTTCGACCAAGGGGAGCCTGGCGGGGCGATGGCAAAAGACGTAGTGGACGATGTTACGTCTGCGGCAAGGAGGGCCACTTTGCCAGAGATTGTCGAGTGAAGAAAGTTGAAGGAAATGTCGCAGCATCATCGAAGAAGAATGATTTCGATGAAGATGAGGAATGGGATTTCCAATCGTCTGTTGCAATGGTGGTATCAGATGAGCTCGCTGCCTCTTCCACATTCAAGTCAAACGATGCGATGGCATTAATCTCTGTAAGTGAAAAGTCGATTAATTATGATTTCGACTGGATTGTTGATTCGGGGTGTTCGAGTCATATGACTGGAGATCAAGGCAAGCTGTCGAACATGCATGAATATACCGGAGGACGTGTTGTTATTACTGCAGACGGCTTGAGGTTGCCGATTACTCAAATCGGCAAGATGATGATATCTCCTCGATTCCATTCACAGCTAGTTGAATTGAAAAGTGTGTATCACGTGCCGGGAATGAAGAAGAATTTATTGTCTGTGTCCCAGCTCACAGACTCGGGTAATTATGTGGTGTTCGGTCCACGAGATGTTAAGGTGTACCGAAGTGTGAAGCCCACTGGTCGACCAATCATGGAGGGACGTCGGCTGGAGTCCGTTTACGTGATGTCTGCTCAAACGGCATATGTAAACAAAACTCGAAGGAATGATACACCTGATTTATGGCATGCGCGGCTTGGGCATGTAAGTTATCACAAGTTGAAGGTGATGATGCAGAAGAACATGCTGAGGGGTCTTCCCCATTTGGAAGTGCAAGAAGATGTGATTTGTGCCGGGTGCCAGTATGGGAAGGCACATCAACTTCCATATGAGGAATCATCGTTCAAAACTCGGATGCCTCTCGAGCTCGTTCACTCGGATGTGTTTGGTCCAGTGAAGCAGTCGTCTGTTAGCGGATTCAAGTATATGATCACTTTCATCGACGACTTCTCAAGGTATGTCTGGGTTGTTTTCATGAGGGAAAAATCCGAGGCGTTTATTAAATTTAAAGTGTTTAAGGAGAAGGTTGAAAGTGAAGTAGGCAGAAAAATCCATTGCCTACGCACCGATAACGGGGGAGAATACACTTCCTACGAGTTCACGAAATATTTGCAAGAGTGCAAGATACGTCGACAGTATACTTGTCCGTATACGCCGCAGCAGAACGGTGTTGCCGAAAGAAAGAATCGGCACCTAGCTGAGACATGCAGGAGCATGTTGCACGCGAAGAATGTTCCACCGAGGTTTTGGGCCGAATGTATGAAGACGACGGCTCACGTGATTAACAGGCTGCCACAAGCAAGGCTTGGTTTTATGTCACCATACGAGAAGCTATGGAATCGCAAGCCTGTGGTAAGTCACTTTAGAGTTTTCGGATGCGTATGTTATGCATTTGTGCCTGATCATCTTCGCAGCAAATTCGACAAGAAGGCGATTCGCTGCATATTCGTGGGATATGATGATCAACGAAAGGGGTGGAAGTGCTGCGACCCTACAACAGGGAGGTGCTATACTTCAAGGAATGTGGTGTTCGACGAATTGTCGTCTTGGTGGTCACCTCAAGCTGTTGAATTGCCAAATTCACAGCATTTCGACGAAGAGGTTGAAGAAAGGCTAAAAGAATTCGATGAGAATCAGCCTGTTGAAAAAGATGTCGACACACAGTCACCAGGATCGACAAGTTCATTTGATGAGCGTCCAAGGTCGACAGAAGAACTTCGACCAAGTCAGGTCGAAGAACTTGAAGAGGAGGAGCCTCAACTTCGGAGATCAACGAGGCAAAGGAAGCCAAACCCCAAGTATGCCAATGCGGCATTAACCGTAGATGTTGGCATGGTCGAGCCTTCGACATATGAAGAAGCCTCGAAGGGAACAGAATGGAGAAAGGCCATGGAAGAAGAAATCCTCGCACTAAAGAAGAATGAGACGTGGGACTTGGTACCGAAACCTGAAAAGGTACGTCCTATTTCCTGCAAATGGGTTTATAAACTTAAAACTCGACCAGACGGGTCGATTGAGAGGTATAAAGCACGTCTAGTGGCTCGAGGTTTTTCGCAAAAATATGGGGTTGATTATGAAGAGACCTTTAGCCCGGTAGCAAAGGTTACCATAGTTCGAGTTCTATTAGCACTTGCAGCAAGCAAGTCGTGGAATGTGTGGCAGATGGATGTGAAGAATGCTTTCCTGCATGGAGAACTTGAGCGAGAGATATACATGGAGCAGCCGGATGGTTTCAAGAGCAAAACTTATCCAGAATATGTCTGCAAGCTAAAGAAAGCGTTGTATGGCTTAAAGCAAGCCCCGAGAGCGTGGTATGGAAAGATTGCAGAATTCTTGTTGAAGAGCGGTTATAATGTAGCTCTAGCAGACTCGAGCCTGTTCGTAAAGGCAGAAGATGGAAAGGTTGCAGTTGTGCTGGTTTATGTGGATGATCTCATCATTACTGGAGATGATGAAGATGGGATATGTCAAATTAGAGCCAACCTCTCTGTGCGGTTCCAGATGAAGGAGCTTGGAGAGCTGAAACACTTTCTGGGGCTCGAGGTTGATAGGACAAAAGAAGAATTATTCCTATGTCAACAGAAGTATGCACGAGATCTCTTGAAAAAATTCGGGATGCTCGATTGCAAACCTATATCTACTCCGTTGGATGGGAACGCAAAGCTATGTCTTGAAGAAGGTCGAGAGCTAGAAGATTCGTCTATGTATAGGCAAGCTGGTAGGTAGTCTAATCTACCTTACCATAACTCGGCCTGACATCGCTTTTGCAGTGGGAGTAGTGAGTCGATTCATGGAGAAGCCAAGGAAGCCTCACTTGGATGCAGCCAAGCGTATCCTGAGGTATGTAAAGAAGACTTTTGATTTTGGGCTTTTGTATAAAAAAGAATCATCAGGTGAGTTGGTCGATCATTGTGATGCCGACTATGCTGGAGATCAACACACACGGCGATCAACTACTGGATACTCGTTTCATCTTGGATCAGCGTGTAGTATCCTGGTGCAGTAAAAGACAGCCGACTGTGTCTTTGTCTACAACAGAAGCTGAATACAGAGCAGCAGCAATGGCAGCTCAGGAGAGCACGTGGCTAGTGCAGTTATTAGATGATCTTCATCAGTCGATAGATTATTCGACAATATTGTATTGTGATAATCTATCCGCTATAAGCTTGGCAGAGAATCCAGTTTTCCATGCTAGGACTAAGCATGTGGAAGTCCACTATCACTTTCTGCGAGAGAAAGTGTTGGAGGGCGAGATCAAGATGGAGTACACCAAGACAGGAGATCAAGTTGCTGATATCTTCACCAAAGGTCTTGGAGCTGCAAAGTTTGAAGAGTTTCGAGCTCAGCTTGGTATGGTCGCTAGAACTATCACTAGAGAGAGTAGTCGGTGAGGGGGAGTATTGAAGATATCACCGCCTTATCTCTCTAGATCTTTCGTAATTAGTCTTGACCTTTCGTATTTCAATGACTAGTTAATGTGATTGTTTGTATTTGGTCTTGACCTTTCGTATTTCAATGACTAGTTAATGTGATTGTTTGTATTTGGTCTTGACCTTTCGTGTTTCGATATCTAGTTAATATCAGATACATGTATAGTCATTTATGAGTCATATCAAGAGTCATGTATTATGCCTATATAAAG